AGTTGTCCTGGTTCTTCCATTCAGAGGATTTGCATTTGGTAATGGAAATTCCTGTTTGGGTTTAGCGGCTATATGCGGAATAAATGAGGTCATGCAATGGCTGATCTGTATTGTCAGCCGAGCGTAAAATTACGTACTTTTATGCTGCAAACGACGACCTCTGCAGTTCTCCGTTACTCCGGCAGTTGCTGGCCACCTGACAACGGCCACCTCGTGGTTTATTGGGGTTACAGGGACCAATCTAGCCTATCTTGGTAATACGCTCAGGGCGTAGGATTTCAGAGAGTCATCACTGCTATCTATTTTCAACATCAAAACACGCCGCGTCCTAAACCGTACATTTTGCTTGAATTCAAACGTCAATTGTCTTGCCAAGCTTCGAGCTTTCCTTCGCCAGCTCAATCAATTTGATGACTTTGGCGGCCTCAGCACCACTGGCCGGGAGATCGCCTTCTCCGGCAAGAGCACGGGCAAGCTTCCGGTAGTATTCGGTGTACGTAGGTGGTTCCACTGTTGGGAAGACCTCAGCGACAGGCTTGCCGTCTTGGATGGTGGTCAGGGTTCCTGTGTAAAGCATCGTTAACCACAAGACTCCCAGAAACTGCAAAGGTAAATGTGAACCTACCGTATCTATCACTAGGTTCCCGGGCGTATCCGTTGTCTCCGGGTCTCACTCCAGCCTTGAGCTGGTCCTCCTGAATGTCGAGATGGAACTATGGAAACCATGTCAGCGTTGGGCCGAGCAAAAGTGATCAGATTCCTCACCTTCTTGAAGCTACCCTTCTCACCTCGAACCCAGTACCGCAACTGCTTCTCCTCAGGGCTTACAACACCCGCCTTGGCGGTTACAAGAAGTCCATTGTTATAGTGCAACAGAACAGTGAAGGAATCCTCAAATCCGGTCGTGTTCACGGCCCTCTGAGAGCCAACGAACCCTGTGATCCGATCCGGCGTCCCCATCAGGTGAACCGCCTGGTCGAGTAGATGGCTTCCGAGATCGTAGATGGCGCTGCCACCCGGGATGACCTTGTTCTTCCATTTCGAAGCATCGGCGGCGGGCTCCTCGGGGCGGTGACGGTCAAAGTGAGTCTCGAATTCGACAACTCGGCCAAGCGAGCCGTTCTTCACCAGCTTGGTTAATGTGACAAAGTCGGCATCAAATCGGCGGTCTGTCAACCTCGAAGTCAGTTCCTGAAAATGGAATCTTCGACCGAGTCAGATTTGTCCAACGTACTTTGGTATACGGCCAACAGCTTATTCTGCTGCTGCGCAAGGGTAACGAGGTCATTGGCCTCCTGCGAGGTGGGTGTGAAGGGCTTTTCGCACACAACTAGATTGGAATTGCCATAAATCAGCAAAAAGAGCGATCAAGATTCTCCAGGAAAGGACCAAACCCACCGTGTTTGCCGTTCTCCAGAGCCAGCTTCGCCAGAGCATAGTGCGAGTCAGGAGCAGTGGTGATGATCACCACGTCGACCGCAGCATCCTGGATCATGTCCTCAGCGGTGCGATACGACTTGACTCCAGGGTGATCTTTCTCGGCATCGTCCTCGGGCTTGGGTGTGCGCTGCACAATAGCGTAGAGTTTGAATTGAGGGACTTCTGCAACGAAGGGAATGTGGAAGATTTTGGCGCTGAAGCCATAGCCTACGATACCGACGTTCCAGGTTTTGGAGGCCATGATGATTGTCTAGATGCGAGAGTGAGAAAGGAACCAACAGAACAAAGCTTGTAGATTCAGTTGAGAAAGCCAGGAAAGTGAGTCTCGTCTTATGCCTTATATACACAAATGAACGCTCCGTGCCGCTTTGGCAAGCTGTCGAAATTCTCTTCCAGAGTCGTCATAGAAAAGGAGTGGGTGCGGGGGAAGGTCCTCGCGAGGGGCAACTACCGCAACCTCTGGATCGGGCGGGCGGGGCTCCATCCAGAAGCCGACTCTGGCCCGTCTCGGATTTCTGTCCGCCGGCCGATCTTGAGGTTTTCCATTCCATTCTAAGTATTCCCGGAGATTAGAGTCGCGTAATTGAAGATTGCTATGACTGTGATGCCTCTTGTGATTACAAATTCGCAGAATTGATTTCCAATCATGACTCGACGGTGTACTCTATTCCTCGATCCCGACACACCGACTCACTTCAATTGCGTCCTAGAATGGCAATGTCAGCCGAATGCAAATGTGTAATGGTCCATGGAAATGGATTCAACCCACCTGCAACCCCTCAGGCTGATGTAGCGTGCTCTTGTACACTAAATTCGGGTTCCCGAGCACCTCAAAACTAGGCTTATCATCCTCACCCAGGAAGGACTGGACCGTCCGCTGGGGGATGCCTTCTTTGTTATAGCTCTTGATCGGTCCCTGCTTGGCGGCCTCGCGCTTCTGCTGCACCGTGCTGCGGACATACTCCAGATACGGCGGGTTACCAGGCCGTAAGACGTTATCCGCGGCCAGAACCGAGACATTGGGAACAATCATGCCGAGCTGTTCGCAAAGCATCAGGTCCGTGGTGTACGCGGGTTTGTAGTGATCGAGGAACATGAGCTCGATCTGCTTGACCTCACCGCTGGTGAACAGCTTGTGCAGCGACTTGTCACTTCGGCCGACGATGATGCGGACGAAGTCCCGCAGACCAGCCAGGTCGATCAGCATGTTCGCAATGGCGGCATACTCCGGGTTCAGTTCTAGACTGAAATAGCGCTTGCCGCCAGCTCGGCGGACGGCATCGCCGAACAGGATGGCTGAGTAGCCTACATAGCCGCCCAATTCGATCATCGTATGTGGCTTGAGTTCAGCAATTAGATCGGTGACGATCTTGCCTTTGGCGGCTCCCACATTCATGAACCGGTATCTCTCTTCGAACTTGTGGATGAGATCCAGCACCCGTTGGGGGTTGCCTCTGATCTCATCAATGTCGGGTTGTTCGTAGATGAAATGCAGGAGCTTGAGCTCTTTTCCGCTTTCATGCTGTACATCGGTGTCAGATATTCATTTTGGCACAATAAATGTAGCGAATAAATAGCTTACCTCTCCAGGACGAGGGTGGCGCTGACTTTGATCTGCCATTTTGAAATATCTATAAGATAGAGCTGTATGTGAGGGACGAGGTCAGTTTTGAAGATAGTAAAGCCAAGGGTAAAGATGCTGCCTTTTATTCGAGCACTTTACTCGACAACCTCCGCGTTTACCCATTGTGGCGATGTACTAGACTCGGGCTTCTACCAGAACTAATGGAGAGGTTAACTCCGAGCAATTCGTGCACTACTAAGAAACACCATTTCGGGGGTTGCGCACGTCATAACATGAAGTGGGAGCCTAAATTATCAATATCCGCTATCCTTCATCCAGGCATTGAAGGCTACAGCAATCTTGGTGATGGTGGTCGTTATCAGATGCGCGGACAGTGGACTTATCGCTGATCTCTGTGTCTCGTCGGAATTACCTCAAACGGAAATGAATCCCGAGCATTCAGTGACGTTGTAACTGTCGGAACTATCGAGCGTTGACTCACCATAGGCAGACACTAAGGTAGTATCGCATGAATCATATTTTCCAGCCTTGATACTCGGCAATCGGACATTGGTGTCCGGAGTTTAGGTAATTAGACCCTGCTTTGCCGAGCTGTCCAGGGTCTTTGGAATCTCCCAGGGACGAGAACCTCAACAGCCGTATGTAGCCTCTCAATATGCATGAGCCAGTCTAAGTCTAGAGCACAGAGTAAGTTTGTCAACTTCCCGTGTCCCAGAAATTTCTACCTAAAATGGGTTGAGTCAGAGCTGACGCATCTAGAAAAGGATTACTGCATATCCCCTTAATAGTGTCAACACCAGGTAGGTCTAGTGACCTACCATTTGGAATTTGTCTAAAAGCTACTTCGGTTCTCTTGGCGAGGGTCAACCCCCTAGCGGCTTGAACAGTGTTAACAGCAGGATACCCGTAGGTAATGATGGAATTGGAAGAAGTGGGTAAGTTCCACCAGATCGTCTTCAAGGGTGGCTGGTGGCAGCACATTCGACTGCCTTTCCAAGAGTGTCAGGGTGGAACCATCTAGGAGTTTTCCCCATGTCTGGAAAGCAATTGTTGTATCCTGGTAAGCTTTGTTGTAGATGTATGAGATACGGTACAATAGGTTGCCCTTTATACAATTTACCCAGATGTCGGTATGTTTCCGGCAGAGTCAGTCCATCTAACAGCATATGGGACAAGCAAATAATCAAAGCCGCGTTAATTTACCAAGAAGAATTGCAGAGTGGAAGCTCCTGCAAGCCATGCCCGAGGGACAGCGGCATCCTCGCGATAATTCCACAGGGCAATGAAATCTCTCAGGCCTCCCTTTTCAGCTGCGTCCATGTACTAAAACAGTACATCAGGCTTCCTCTCCACAACTTGAAGGATATGTGTGAATCGCTTTTCCCAAACGGGAAGATGTACAGTGGACTTCTGTCAAACCAAATGTGTGGATTTATCACAGGCCAGTGTAGGCAAGAGAAAACTCGGCAGATTGAAGCAGTTGCAAGATAATGCAATAGAATGTCAATCTGATTTTAGACTTTTGAAGGAAGACAGACCTTTTAGCGCAGTCTAAGTGACAATTCACGGACAGATATCTCACTTCCTACCAATTGAGATCATGGCTAATACACATCCACGACGCTGCTTGATGCAGGATAGTGACATGGAAGACGTTGCTTAGTGAAAATCGAAAGTAACAGACCCATCAGACCTCCACCAATTAACGACAGACGAAAGCCAAGAAAAGCATAGAGAGCACGTTTGATCCGGCTAGATCACCATCGAAACCTCAAGGAGAGAAAGCTTGCTTAACTTTCTCCAAAACGCTGTTCTCGGTTGCCAGTTCTTCTGATCATTGTTCCTCAATGGTCTGTCCGTGTTGCTCACTGCGGACATTCATTGGCAGTCGCAAGCTTTGGCGGGTTGTACAAAACTAGCTTCGCAAGAGGCCATAGTCAACAGCCCTTTTCAGAAAATATCATTTCCTTGCTGCTTAGGCTCGAAATCCCATAGCCCGCGAGCAATTCCTATAAGCATTGAGCTCAGTCTGAGTGCTTGACCAGGGCAGGCTCGTTTGCCGAAACCGAAGAGGGCAGGACGGGGCAGACGCGGGCATCCAATCCAACGCTCTGGCCTGAAATTTCGGGTCTTTGTAGATTCCCGGATCCATATTGACAGCCCACGGGTTGGAAAGGATGACTGCATCTTTTGGAATGCAGTATCCCTTATAGAAGTCCTCTTTTGACATGGCGTGAGGAACAGCAAACGTTAGCATGCCGACGACTCGGATGAACTCTGAGAGGAAGGCCATTGTGAACACGGCAAGCTTTCTTGACCTTCAAACGACGGGAGCCTGCGTACCCCTACAACGCTGTCAAGCTTACATGGTACCCTCTTCACTTTATTTGGATACCTTAAAATTTCAACCATGTGCATCATCATGACTGGAGAGGTTATCGTAGTAGCAAACTTCATCTCGGCGAAGATAAAGGCCCTCTGGTTATTGGAGAAATCTGCAAGGGGCCTTTTTTGCATGCACTGTGTCGAACTCCAAGGCCCACTTTGAGCCCTAATAACGTCTTGTCGTAAAAGGTGCGTTGAATCTCCTTATAGAAACGGTCCACAACTTTTTCCACTCTTGAAAGAGCTGAAAGATGTAATTACCGGTTCAAGGGCTTGATAAATTTCAGCAACAAGATCCTCGGTTCCGAAGTGGTTGACAAATTTGGACAGGAGGCCCAGAAAGTCCTGTCTCATCCTCCCATCACCTTGATATACTTTCCTTCCATAGGCCAATACCGTGGCATGACTTTCTGTGAACTAAGAGAAGTAATCTGGTGTCCAGCTTCCATCACTTATTTTATAGAGGAGCCGTTTGCTTTGCATGTCCAGAGGAGTGTAGTGAGCGCATGGGTTGTTAAGAATAGACTTCTGAAAGCGGTGGATTCTGCTCCATTTGTCCCCATACGGCATGAATACTGGTAGCATGCTCCTAAAAACGGTGTCGGCAAGACTGACCATGCGGGGCGAGAAGAATAAATGCCGTTTTTCTTTCCAGCAGATCTCAAATAACTCGAATCCCTAGAGAAATCACTGTTCGCTGTCCTATTTCAGGCTGATGCCATTGGCGATACTGCTCCCACGGAAGAACAATTCACGAATGCTGGTGGAGGTTTCCAATCAATGGCAGGGGTTTGGGACCAGGAGGCAATCGTAAGTCCCTTCTAGGCAAGTATCCCATAGGCAATGAATAGTACAAAGAAGGTGAAATATGCGAAAATATGATGCGATCAAAGAAGTAGTGATGTTAGATCGTCCTGAAAGTGCTCGTGGAGTTATAGGTAGAAAATAATGGTCTCAGCATCCTCCTTGGACTGACTCACTATATACTTGCCGAAAGCGATGTCTTTTGTCTCCAACGAGAACGTGAAGAGAGAAGTCAGTGGAATGAAATCCAACGCACAAATTAGCTAGGAAAGGAGCAGCATTCCCTCAATGCTCTTTTTTTGCCAAACGCAATTGTATGCATCTTCTCTCTACAAAGCATCAAGTATGTTACCTAGCAGCGTTGATACTTTATGATTTCTCTCACCGATCGAGTCCGTATGCTTCTAATGTCGTCAATTGGTCTCTGGAAACTACATTAAATAAAAGAAACTAGCCTTTTGATAATGCAGCAGAGGAGTAGAGAATAATGGGGAACCAGCTTCGCGGTCTCTGAAACTTCTACCACTCCTCAATCCTGATGGACTTTGATTCTTTATGATCCTCTAATGATCAACAAGATAAACTGCGCCTGGTCATGTGGGATTTATAAACCTAGTAAGTCTGCATAGTTACTACAAGTAATATTCTTAAAACAACTGGAACATATTAGATGAAATTTTGTTTCACCCTATACAGGGCTCTCTGTGTAGAATCAACGTAGTTGATTTTAACATTAGGATTAGATAAGTAAACAAAGCTATTCCAGATCTCCAGTCAACTTTATCTGACTTCTTTGTTTTCCTGCGTGACATTGCTAAAGACCTATATCTGTATATGCATGCAAGGACCTTGTGGAAGTTCCAAGCAATCTAACTAAATACAGCATCGTAGGGAGAAGACTAGATAAGGAGGAGAACTGCCTTTTTTATCCTTTTTGTTTTAGTGATGATGTACTCAAGCAGGTAGTTTGATGAATGTATAGAGCAGAGTGTTAGGCAAACTAAGACAAACTGATTAGCTATACTCTGTAGTTAGCTTTAACTCTTAGGGCAGCAACTCGCAGCGTGCAAAGGTCACAGTTTCTGATCTAAAAGTCACGCACAATTTTGTGGCTTGTCTCTTGTCATCCGGAGTTACTCTGTACTCCCTGTTTCACATGTTTTGAAGTTGCAGCTTCATTATCACCAGAGCATTAACTGCCCGCTTGAGCCATTGACAACCGAGACACTGGCCTAGGCATCTACCATTTGATAGCGCATATGTTGTACCTCATTCATCCAAAGATATGGCAGTCAATTCTTAAAAATTGAGCTTGGAAATGGCTTTGAGAATCCTTAGCATGACATGTGTGCTCATACAGCTGATGCCACCTGGTAATCGATGGCTGGCTTGGACCATCGGAAACAGTACACGAAACAAGAAGGACGGTTGGTGTAACACAAAGACTTGATTGAGTCGTAAAAATCATGCAAAGAAATTTGATTTAGAAGAAACAAGATCAATGAACGGAGAAAGAGCATGACAGCTACACGAAGTAGCTGTAATCATGCACGGTGACGTGGTTACATCTGCATTCCGAAGGAGGGGTCAAATATGCACAAGAACCAGCCCACGCCGAGAGAAACAGAAACTGCGAGCTCCAACGCTCATCCTCAAACAAAATGGCCGTCAGGACGATGCGACGAGCCTTTGGCTCAATACCGAAACAGCAAACCCTTCATTTTGTCCAAAACCTTGTACGGATGGTAATCCATCTGCTGTGGGTCGCCGTCGCTTTCGTACTACTACCCCTCGACAATGCCATTCTGCTGGCAGTTTACATCGTCGGGTTTATTTCTCAACTTCAGTCGGGCTCGTGTCCAAGCCGTCAGAGGAAGGCAGCGTTGAGAAATGAACACTTCTATCCCAAAACCGTCCTGGTGACGGGCATAGATACCCCGCCCGGACTGGCGGTGGCACGATCCTGGTACTACGAAGGCCACCGGGTCGTGGGGGTGAGCATCACGGATTCCTCCATCCGGTCTGGCGAAAGCATGTCCCGGACTCTCGCAGCTTTCTACAATATCTCCCAGTCGCAATATATTCTACAACTGCTGGACATCATATACAGAGAGAAAGTGGACGTTTGGATCCCGTGTTCGGACAAGGCTACTGTCATGGAAGATGCGATGGCCAAAGAAGTGATTGAGAGTCGGACCAACTGCAAATGCATACATCTGGACACGGAACTCACAGACAGGTTCGGTCGTCCAGAGTCTTTCATTCAGTATCTCATCGAGAAGGACCTACCTGTGCTGGAAACCCATCGCGTGCAATCGCGCGCCTCTATCCACAGTATACTCCATCGATCTCCGACCAAGGTCTATCAGATGCGCAGAGCGAGCTCCATCGCCGGTGACAGCAAGGTTATTGTGTTGCCGAAGCGCACGCTCAGCCAGACTTACACCGAAGTCAGTGAGATTCAAATCTCCAAGAACTGCCCCTGGATGCTGCAGCAACAGACCCGCTTGGGGACATACTTTGCCGAGACGCTTGTAGTTCGCGGTTTCGTCGAAGCGATCAAGATCCGTCCCTCGGACCAGCACTTGGGCTGGGGCCGGTCCCGTCTAGACGAAGCGCTCGCAATCGCTATCCACAAACTCATGGAGAGATTTGCGATGAAAGGCGGTCCGCGCTTGACGGGGCTACTTTGCGTCAAGTTGATGGTCGATGAGGTGTTTGATGCAAACTCCGTGCGTCATGTCCTCCACATTGCAGGCTGCACGCAAGGTGCAGCGGCCGTCGGGCATCTCTTGCAAGATGCATCCTGCTCGATTCCTGCTGGCTGTTTAACTGTGTTGGCTGCACAGACTAACGGCATGTCTACGCGCTTGACGGAGTCGAGCAATACGGGGATTCGTAGTCTGATGTGCAAGGCACCGTCCCAGGGATCGAGATTTTACGAGGCGGTCAAGACTCACGAATGTGGGCGACTGGTGCTAGTCGTTTCGCGAGCAATCCACTTACTTGACCAGTTGATTTACGAGGCAGGTCAGCTCGTCTTCTGGAAGAACTGGCGATATTCTTCTTTCGATCCTTTCCCGTGGTGGTGGGATGCTCATATCTATCAACCAGGTAGACACTTTGGAATGGCTTTCAGTGTTTTCACTGAAGCTCACGGTAAAGCGGCTTGAAGTGAGCTCCTTGCGCCTTTCTCTTTCATTTGTTCTTGATTAGCATTTTGCGAGTTGGTACCTACAGGATCATTGGGCGGTGTTCTGGAGCTGTTGATGGATATTGCAGATCTTTGAATATAAGAAGCAATAGTCGTTTTATGTAAAAGGGATTTCACCACTAGAACTATCAAGCCAGTAATCCATGGTACTACCGCTGGAGAGGTTATCTCTTGAGGTAGATACACCGCAAGGCTCTTACTTTGATGGCTTGGCCTCCATCCTCTTCATATCAGAACCTGATTGAAACCCGACAGTTTCTATGAAAGAACCAAGACGGCGTCTACAACGGGAACTTGGGGATTGGTACGAACCTGCAAAACCATAGCCAGGGAGCGGCATACATCAAGTCTCCGTAGCTCTACGGTAATGGCCTGCTAGGATCACCTACTCGGGCTATCAATCACTCCGGATGTACAGACTCAAAGATAGCGCGATCCAGCGTAATGGTATCTGTTCTCATTGGACAGGCCTCCCAGCGATTAGCCTAACGGGAGTACCTATACTTGGGCCCGCATAAGGTAGCCTTCCGCACCGCTGTGCTGATTGGGGTACATAACACATGCTTTTACCCCTGGCTCTCTTTCCGCCGTCATGGGTAGACACTTCTAGACTGTCTGCCCACATTTCTCTTGCATTCGCAGGGCCTCGTTACCCGCCAATCGGGGTGTCCGATCATGCATCGCATCTATAGCAATCATATTAGCGCCGGCTGTGGAGGAAACCTCCCGACCATTGCTATATATCCCGAAGGACTCGTGACAGGCCTCTTTAGCGGATGCGCGCTACTGATTTCACAGCCTGTGGATGATAGACGTCCTGATGCAATCGCATATTGTTGCATCGTCATCAAACCTCGGCAATAAGTCGGTGATTAACAGGCAAGTCCATACGTCTTTGCACAGCTATTGTGTGCCTCAAATATCGACCTGACAATGCATCAGAGGAGACGGTACCATTGTAGAAGCGACAATGGCTGGAGCAGACACTGCAGAAGGCGAGAAATCAACTGCAAGGAATGAATCACCCGCTCTGCATACTACTACCCAGTCAGATGGCCTAAGCGAACTACATGAGGAAGACAAGTACCTTCATGGCCGCGCCCTGGGCTTCTTGACGCTTTCCCTGATGGTGGGAGTGTTTACAGTCGCATTAGATAACAGCATGTGCTCACGGGCGCGGGATACGGCGCCATGGTGCAGATCCCGATAACCGCCCTCCAGGTGGTTCTGAGCGCGTCGGATGTCCGCTCCGGAGTACGCTTGTGATCCTTGCGCAGTGTCTCGGGGGTTCGGTTGGTCTGGCGGTTGCGGAGAGCGTTTTTCGGAATAGGCTGCACGCACAGCTTCTTGCGCTCCAGGGGGTTGATGTTGCTGCGGTGGAAGCGGCTGGTGGTGCCGAGTTGCAGGACATTGTGCCTGTGGACCTGCTGGGGCCAGTGAGACGTGGGTTCCAGGTTACGGTTTCTGATGCGTCTCTTGTTGCGGTTGGTCTGGGAGGGGCTGCGTTTCTGGCTTCGCTGGGAATGGAAAGGAAGAGGATTATGGCTAAGGGGGGTGAGGCGTCTTGAAAGCAGAGATATCGTCAACGTAGAACCTCGGGGAGCATCCCATCAATTGATTACATATGTTCAAGCTTGTCTTCTTGCTTGATCTGACTTTACAAGGAAGACGTTACTGAAACAATAATCACACAGCCTCACTCTTCTTCAACGTCATTATGTTCATGTTTGAGTTTATACACCCTGTCCACACTCACACCCGTCCCTATTGCAGCTCATAGCGTGCAGTCAGATTGGCCCGGCAATTCATACGGATTGCTATCACCAAGGTAGCTGGTAAGGCGCAGGGCTGTACGGTAACTCCGACGAGTTCTCGCTGGTAGGCGGCTGATATGACAAATGCAGCGAATGAAGTTCGTTCGCACCATTCAGAGGCAGGCTGATGATTATATCCTGGGAATAGATGACAATACAAGGCTGTGTTAAGTGTTCTAAGAAAGGATCTTTCTTCTGTTCATCCATGTCCTAGGTGTTCTTACTTGGGAAACTGCTCCAGCCACTGAGATGCATGATTAGGTAGGCTAAGTCCTTGAGATACCTACCTTGTATATTAGTAGAAGGTCTGTGAGCATCAGTTTACATCTCGCGTGCTTCCCAAGCCGCCAGGTAGGCGGTTACTCCGAACTGGCGGATTAGGGTTTGCCATTGATCCGCTGCTTCTACTAGCTAGACCCTAGACCCCAGATTTCGATCAGTAATCCTGCCACGCCGCTTTCCACTGAGGCCAAGGGCCCCAACTTAACTTACACTCTTACCTAAATATGATGTTATTTTATGTGCTTGGAGCTTTGTAGAGCTGACTAAGAGTAAATCTGTAATAAAGCAGAAAAGCATGGAGCTTTTGAGCAGAGCCTAGATTCTACCTATGTCCTACATAGATATGATCATATGGATCGTATGATTTGCCCCCCGCAAATCCACCCTCCACATGAGATATTTTGGATCCCAGCTTCGCCACAAAGTCGCAATTCATGACGCAGGATACAGTTGGTTTAACCATGGCGCCCATCCCCCTGTAAGTCATTACAGTCAGCTTCAATTTTCGGCGCGTCGCGGTTTTCACATAACTACTTATGACCTGCGTCAATGACAGCGAAGCCTATGGCAACAAATATCGCTAGACACTATCATTTCTAGGCTGCAGAATCAACATGTTCGAGGCAAAAGAACCTGTTCTGGTCATAGGTGGAACAGGCGCCCAGGGAGTCCCAGTTGTCAAAGGTATCTATCACCGGCTGGTTTCAGATATATACCTGCCGTTTGCTAACCTTCGTTGGAAGCTCTGACCTCTGATTCAAAATATGCCGCACGCGTCCTCACCAGGAATTCATCCTCCGCAGAAGCTAAACTGTTGGCTACGATTCCTGGAGTGACAATTTTCGAAGGAAACACATACGACGAGACCACACTCCGCGAGGCATTCAAAGACATCGAGTATGTTTTCGCTAACACGAACGGGCTTGCGATAGGAGAGAAGGCCGAGATATACTGGGGCATTCGCCTGTATGAGCTTTCTCGAGAATTCGGCGTCAAGCATTTTATATATGCAAGTCTCGAGTATGGGTCAAAGCTGGGAAACTTTGACCCCAAATACCGGTGTGGTTTTCTGGATGGCAAAGCAAAAGTTGCGGCCTATATCTCGGCACAGCCAACGACTCCAATGGCGTGGTCTATTCTGACCTCGTGCCAGTATATTGAAACACTATCAGAAAAGCTACGGCCTGTCCCTGATCCTAAAAACCCAGATATCCTTGTCTTTAGAGCTCCACTCGGAGAAGGCAAATGTCCGCTTATCTATCTTGAGGACTATGGAGCTTATGCCCGATGGATGCTTGATACTCCCGCTCGGAGCAATGGCCTGGAATTGCATGTTGCTACGGAGGACATTGCTTGGAGAGATCTTGCTTCTGCATTCACGGAGGTTACTGGCCGAAAGGCAGTATACAAGGACGTCACATTGGATGAATTTTTTGCATCTGGAATTTATCCAAACCCCGATGCCAAACTGGGCTATCCAGGTAGCCCTGACGATGGGACCCTGTCGACCTACCGCGAGAACTTCTCGGGCTTCTGGAATGTCTGGAAAGGAAATTTGACGAAGAGGAACTATGCTCTGCTGGACGAGATACTGCCGACACGAGTCAAGACGGTAAAGGAGTGGATGGTGAAAACAGGCTACAATGGGAGGCCTGCTTTGGTCCTGAAAGCCTCGCGAGATCGGGACGTCAAAAAAGGCACTGGCGCGAAAGAGGAATCATTGTAACACATTTCTTTCTAGGAGTATGGAGGCGTATTGTGGGACAAATTTCTAGCCGAATTGGATGATAGCAGTTAAAAAAGAGACAAGACAATTAACAAACAATGCTCATTCAGTCTTAGCAACTGGCTTTCTTGACTCTTGGAACACAAACCCAGCAGTATAATAAATAAGCTATAAAGGTATTAAAAATAATAAATACCTACATCAGCCCAAAATTCCTCCAGATATCTGAGTAACTTGATAAAACACTAAGGAATATATTTATCTCCTTAATCAGGCAGAAGTTGTAGTTAGAAGTTGCCATTCTGTCTTCCAGATACCCACCCCATATTTGACATGTATACAAACAGCTTGAGCCAATCAGATAACAAAGGTAATTATTGCATTGTATAGCATATATTTTTTTCTAACTCTCTCTAAACCTCGAAAACCTGGCACTTGATCTAATCTCTGCGCTGCGAAGCCTTCCGGATCTGCGAACGCGACTGTCTGTTAACTGTTGAAAGAATCTATCGGGCGATGGGCTGAGACTTAATTCTGCGATTAGCTCTGACGGCTTCAATATCAATCAGCTCATTCCATTGCTTAGTGCCGTTGTTAACGAAGAGTCCGATGAGAGGATTTGGAGCAAGATCCTTGCAGTTCTTGTCGAATCTACTCCCCCGCTCAAACATCTTGACCAAACACCGTTCCTACATACCACGAGTAGCTTCGTGATTCCTCTTAACAACGAAGGCATGTAGATGCCGTGCTAAAGGAAGACCTTGGGTCAATCTACATCGGTGTGCCAGGCTTCTATGAGGTGTACTTCGGTCGTATCGAGGGCTTAGAGGAGGCAGGCGCTACTGTGTTCAGAAGATGTCGGATCAGCTGCTTCTCCGCGTCCATTTCTGCCTATTCCTTCGGCTCAAATTTTTGATGTTTTAGCCTGCACAAGGAAGACTTCTCAGGCATACTGACCTAGCAGAGCGTAATAGAATCAATAACTTATCAATGGTGGAAGCGGTGGGCAGGTCTTGTGAGTGATTCCAATAGTAATGGGTGACCTGTACTATGAGTAGACCGATGTGGTCGCAACCATGTAGATGGACGACTGTATGGTCTTGCACCCTGGGGTGGACGCCAGTTGGTGGTCCTCCGCATGTGCTGGTCGTACGACCGTAATCTTTTGGATCATATAGGTCGGGAGCGCCAGGTTGAGTGTTCCTGGTTAAACATCGCAATGCCCACGCACCCTATCTTACTCTCCGGGTCTACCTCACTAGCACGCTGCCCTAATCTCTCCGACTACACTAATTAGGCGCGATGACTCCCCTGAGAATGTGTCTACATTTCCACTACAACTGTCCTTGTTATCTAGTTGATCGTGAATCACCAACCTGAGGCGGAAACATCCTGTGACTGCTTGATGCCAGTGGAAACTGACGCTAAACCAGCTTCGGCAGCCTCATCTCCATAGAATTTCCGAACTGTGTACCACTAGGTAGCCTCCATTATGGTCTTGGAGTTCGAATACATGCTGTCATCTATCACAAGTTGACGAATGAAATTTTGTCGTGTATCACTCAGCCCCATTCTGATGGATCGGCCTGACACAAGTACCCTCTTACTGGATACTCTAGAGAGGTGGCGGAATTAGCCTCGGAAAGTTAGTGACAAGGATTTCAATTTGAGATCCTGTTGTACCCTTCTCAGATCTTGGGAAAGAATTAATTGAAAACATAGGATAAAATAAATAATATTGGCCAAGAGGTATCAACTATCAACTGGGAATGAATATTATCCATAGTCCGTAGGCCATACCTAATTTACATCACCTATATATCTCTATGATGGGCCCCCTTCATCAATCTTGTTAGTGATTTCTTCATTCATTCCTTAATTAATCACTCTCACCCTGTTCTCCTGAGAAATGCCTCCTCCTTTCTGATGATTAATCATCCTTATTGTCAATTCACTGATCCCATATGAACACCGTTTCCTAATTCCTTCCAGAATGACAATGTCAGCAGAAGTTATTATTGGTTTGATAGCGCTCTTCATCGCCTGTATTCCTGGTATACGATTCGTCCTCCGCCATAAGAAGTTCCGTCAGTTGTGGAACCGAGCCGAAGGAGCAGCATTTCCACTGTCTGGTACGCAGAATCTTACTCTATTGGTCCAACGCCCCAACTCTCATCCCTCCATATCTGCGAAATGGGTTTTGTGATTTCTATATTGCACTAAGCTTTCTGACCTCTTGGTTCCTCCTGTCTAGATCGCAGCTGTTCGGATATTCCCGAAGCACAAGCGATGCACGTTGTACCCCGCATTCAATCCTCGTCCATGTTCCACTTTGGAGATCGTCCATCATATAATCCAGGCCACCAACGCCCATCATTAAATCATGAGGGCCCACTTGGTTCTTTATTGAGACACAATACCACAGCATCTCCTTTGCAAATACAGGCACAAATTATAATTATCAGTGGGGTGAGGTCAGGTGAGGCTCTCTGGCATGAAACAAACAAGCTTTGGCTAATTTATAATTACAAATATTCTTCAGATCTCGAACACGGGAACATAGAGAGCGAATCTTTAATCAATGCCAATTCTGATGGTCCCTCATTGAATGAACAATAACCAGTGAGAAGGAATGATGTATAATGTCCATCACACCACCTGATGTTTGGTCAGTATAGACAGCGATCCCTTCTATCTTCCACTCTTATTACCTTTTTTTTTTTTTTTTTTTTTTTTTTTTTTTTTT